GGCTGATACAATACTCTGCTCCTAAGAGAGAACCAATATTTATTCGAGTATAAATTTAGATAAGTATAATAAATTTAGATGCGTAAAATAAATTTTGAGTACAAAATTCAGATGCATATAATAAAGTTGTAAGAAAGTAGGTTTGTCAGCCACAGATTTTTCAAGGGCCTTAAGGGTAAACTTTGTCCTTTCCTAATATTAAAAAAGGTGCCTGCTTTAGAGCTAATGCACCTTTAGCCTATGAAAAACAGCTGTACCACTAGAGGTATTTTTAAAAATTGCTTTCAGTGTGCCAAGCAGCAACAAAACAATTAGAAAGACAAACTGAATGTGCTCCTAATGCATGTCAGAATCCAAAAGGTTGTTGATATTTCAAAATCATAGCAGAAGAGAGTTTAGTATTACCATAGGAGTACACTAACATTGAAGAACTAAGTGCAAATGACAAAACAGGCCATAGAACCACCAATGTAAATGTAAATTAATGATCGTGCATGTATATGTGTGTATGAAAACAACTAAGAGACAGATGGCCATTTTCCCTATGGCATTTGCACATGTCCATTCAATGCCTGTATGTGGGTCAATTACTATGATAAACATCATGTGACAGGTTCAACTGAGGTAAAGCAGTTCATACTGACTACACCTCACTTTAATTTACTGATGAGATATACTTATTCAAAGAACCAAAATGAACTATTCACAAATAGATTTGTCTAAACAACTGAAACTTAGCTAGAAAATGAAATGCCTTGTTCTCTATGCAGTATCTAGATGCTTAGGAAAAAAAAAAAAAGAAAGAAAGAAAGAAAGAAAGAAAATGAAATGTCACCTAAAATAATTTCTAAACTCTTAACTTGTATTCCAGTGCAAACTGGGAAGGAAACTGAAGAGTAAGACAATACTCCTGTACACAGTGGTTTCTTATAATAATAACTTGATAAGACAATCACCTACACAAAGAGAGCTTCTCTCTTACTTAATTATATAGTAATTCTTTCTAAATATGCTTTTTACTAATACCAGGCCAGGCTTCATTAGTTACACAAACTGGAATCTTAAGATAACAATGTCAGATTGGTCAAAGACAAGTCTATTAGAGAGAACTTTTTAAAGATAAGTTAACAGAGTGATTATTTCACAAGGGATTCCTATCATACCAGGTCAAAAATCCAAACTAACAATAACATTAAAAGATCAAGCAAAAATAATAGTTGAGTATCTTCAGAAAGAATGCACTTAAAAAAAAGTGTTAATATGCCTTAAATTTCATTTCATTTTAAATAACATTAATCAAACTTATTATAAAGAAAAATTTAACTGTTTCTAAAAACTGAGATTTACATTTATACACAAATGAAAAGCTAACTAGGAGTGTATTAAGAGCTTGATGTAGTTTTAATTCCATAGTAGAAATTTCTACCTTGTAGTTATTTCTCCAAGTTTCAAAAAATTACTGTACAATGAAACAGCTAAGAGACCTATAGGTAAAATTAATGATCGTTGGGTTTAACACATGCAAAATAGGCAGTAAGAAAATAAATTTTCAGAGGAGTCACCAATACATTTTCTACTTCCAAACATGCAAATTGTCTTTCTTTACAAACTAATACATTATTTTACTCATGTGAGGATTTAAAGCATGTAAAAGTTGCATTATCATTTACCTGTCTATGTATAAAAAGCACATGTCACCAATGAGATGATATGTGCAAAGCGAAATCAGACTTCTGAAGTTTGGAACAGTTGTGGTTTGTTTACCTTTGTCTGCTTTGAAGTAAATTGACTCCTCTCATGGTGTTATCTCCATAAGAAACTCGTAACAGTGTTATTAAAAAGGATAAGAAAAAATGATGTCATGTTAACCTCAACAAACATGTAAGAAAGCAGAGAAGTTTGGGTCAGCAAGTTTTTCCACTGACCTAAACACCAAATTTTCTCCAGAAAATAAGAGAATATCCTGTAAAGAATCACACAACATCAGTTAAAAATAAACTGCATATTTTTAATTTCAGTTTTCCTCTAATCACAACTTAAGATTCAATACCAGATTGAAGGCAAGGGGAGGGAGGATGAAGCTGAAACCATACACCGTTTTTCATCAGATACTATGAATTCTTCTCTTCCACTGTTTGTTTCATCACATCAGAGGCATATTCTTAAGTTTAGCACAGAAACAGTTGTGAAATATTAAATTTTACCACAGAGAAATTGATTTTGCTGAAAGAAAGTTTCATGTTACCATTTAATTTCAACCAAGCTACATCAAACACGGAAAGAAATTATATACAGTTTATAAAGTAAACTTAATCACTATATTTAAAAGAAATGATAACTTTGAGAAATACCACAGCAATAATGATTTAGTGAAGCAAGTCAGGAACAAGAGCCATCTCCCTTAAGCCTGCTCCCTTCACTTCCAGCATGGGCCTCTCCTTATAGAACTGTATTGAACAAAAGTTCCCGGTGTGTGTGTGGGGTGGGGGGGGGAGTGGGGGGCGGGGGGGCAGCAGAATCCACAGATCCAGTTTAAGCAACTTTTTAAACATGAATCTTTGCATCTGAAACGGAGTAGTGGGAATAAACAAATTATCATCATTCTTCAGTTTACACTTGGCTCCCCAGCTCTCCTCCCTGATCACACACCAGTGAGTTACAGTAGTTAGCTAGAAAATATATCAGAAAAGCCACAATCTATAGTGTACCTTGGCAACAAATCACTTGAACAGGCTGTGCATACAACAAATAAGTTCAGTGCTCCTATTTATGTGTCTCATAATTTCTAGGATAATAAAACAAAGTTTGCTACTCTTAAGATTTCACATTCTAAGAATATGTGATTGCATATGGAGTTCTGCTAATAAATCAGTGTAAAATTACACTTTTCAAATTGTAGCAAAGTATAATTCACACTTATAAGCCCTCAACATTATATCAATATAAACTATCTATATATCACATTAAGCATACTATCAATAAATGATATGGGCAAATAATCATACTCAATTCACCTGTGTAGCTACAAGATAGAAGTCACAAATTTTAACACTCTATCTGACCTATTGCATCTGAAAAACTTACAATTGCCAACCATCAAAGCACAACCAATTTATCATTACACTCACACCATTCTTCCAAGTTACAAAGTCCAGTCCTAACACTTATAACTGATGACTCAAGAGCAAAGAACAATTAAACCTATAGAAAAATGTATTTCCAATCAGCTTTAATTTTTAAAGAATGGTTCTACTGATATGTACTTTCTTAAGGATTAGACAGCAATTAACAAAGGCATACAAAAGGAACACTTGATTTATCACAGTTTCTACAACAGGTTGCATTATTATAGTTAAGTTTCTTTTTTTAAATAAACTCTTTATTCTTGGTTTAAATGCTTACTATTCGAATGGCCCCAACAGAGCCAGTAGCTGCCCATACTGACCTCTGAGCTGGTTTTAGTAAAAAGTCACCCATCTTTGGAAGCAAGGGCTTTTTCCACCAATATGCAGGAAATAGCAGGTGCACCATTACACAAAATTGGAGAGAAGAGAAGTTCACCTCACTCCTACAGACCATTTCTCAGAGCATGTTGTGTAGTTGCTAAAATCAGTATGCTGCGTAAAAGTTAAGAAAAAAATAAATGTCTAACAGTGGCTCTCTATAAACTAGCCTCTGATAGGCTCTACAAAAAATGCATTAAGACGGGTTTGCTAGATGTTCTGGTACCTATTATCAGATGATTTCTTGAAAGAGACGTGAACCTCCTTTTAGCAGGAAAATGGGCACGCCAAAGAGTACAGAATGCGGCTAATTACGACCAGGAGAAGATTCTGTCTTCGCCTCCCCTCACTATCAACCACTTTGCTTAAGTTCATTCACTGCCTCGCCCTAACCCTGGGGATCCATTCACTTTCCATAGCCCAGAGAGGCTGCTGAAAAGCTGTCAAAGTAAATCTGTGCTCACTTTTTGGATGGTTTAATTTCAATGGAGCATGAAACACCCCAGGACGGTTAATAAGTTTGGCCAGGCGTGCTGTTATCCCTAATATATTTTAATTATGCATCTGTTTTAATTGTAATCAGATTAAGGCACCGGAAAGACACAAATTGGAATTTTCCCTAATGGATACAGGAGCTTTTCATCAGTTTCTAAACACTAATAACGTTTAAAAGATGGGTAGAGACACCAATAAAACTGACATTTTCCAGAAATCGATGCAGTTTCTTTGACAATACAGTTCAGGTCTCATTAGCCACCCAAACTGACCTAAATGCAGAAGACAACTTCAGTCTCTAGGGCGTCTTCTCCAATTAGTACAAAAGAATCACTAACGTCTAATGCACAAGTCCCAAACAGAAATGAAAGCCGAAGCTTTTATGAAGTGCTGCCCCACGAATGGGTGAAGGAGGCTAGGGAGGCGGGAGAAACCATCAGCAGCATTATTTTGGCTCAAAGTAAAAGTCTGTACACATTAAAAGGGAAAGTTAAAGCAGAGAACGATCTCTTTTCACAATTTTGGCAACTATGAAACGTGTGTTTTAACTTCGGGAAATAAAAGTGTCCCATCAATAAAAGGAAACGGGACTGGGAGGATCTATCAGGGATCCAGGAGTGGCTTCCTCCTAACCCAGACGTAAAATCATTTAATGGGCTTTTGTTGCAACAAGGAATACCTAAGACTTTTTTTAATTTAATATATTCATTAAACAGTTTCCCAAATTGCCGGGATTTCCGCTAAGAAACTCAAGCGTCTGCCAACAGCCGACAAGCAAAGGAGAGAACCTGCTGCAAACTAGGAGCGGAGACTCCCTCGGCCCGCCCGGCGCGCTCCCGTCCCCGGTGTTTGCTTTAGGTGTTAATGTTTACGTGTCGCCTGAACCGTCAGGAGCTGAACCAGTTCCTCCAAGACGCACTTCGAGCCTTAAAGCGGGAAGCTTCCGAGCCACCGCGGAGTGTGCCCCCTGCAGCCCGTCGCCCCTTCCTCTCGGCCCCTTACCTGTCATCATAGCAGAAATCCGCACTCAGGGTGTTGAGATACAAGGCGAGCCCCAGAGCGCTGCTCACCAACTCTGCAATCATCTCTCCACCGCCTTCCCTCCGGCTCGGCTCCCAGCGCGAGGGCAGCAGCGGCAACAAAAAACAGAAGCATCAATCCCCACCTTCCGCCGCCTTCTCCTCCCAGCTTCACTTTTCTCTCGCTTCCCCACCCTCTCTCCCTCGGGTCCTTGCAATCCACGACTCCTCTCCTCCTCCTCGCGCCCGGCTCCGCAGCTCCTGCGTCCTCCCCGGGTGCGGGCTCACACCGCACTCCCCATACCCGGCGCCCGCGAGCGGCGAGCGGCGTTCGGGCTCCGCGTCCCCCGGTGGAAGCGCAGGGCTGGTCTGTCGCGCGGGTCGCGGTCCCCACCCTAACCCATGGCAGTTTGGGGCGTCCTAGGTGAGGAGTGGGACTCGGAGGAGGTGGAAGGGTGCGAGATGGGGCAGAGGGACCGGACCGAGCCGGGCTCTGGGACCAGCTGCAGGAAGAGAGAGAAAGAGGCGCGGGTGGGAGGGACGAGGCGAACCGCCTCCCCTCGCCGCCTCCCGGGCGCACTGCTCCGGTGTCGCTCGGGCGGACTCCAGCCGCCAAGGCGGCTGCTACACATTCACTGTTTATTAGCTCCCTCCCGGCCCCAGCCCCAGCTCCCTTCTCCAATGAAGTGAGAAGCGGTGGCTGGAGACTCCAGAAGCTCCCGCGTGGGGATCTCGACGCGGCCCCCCGCGCCTGCGTGACCAACCCTCCATCCCGGTTTGGCCCAGCCCCTTTCTCCACCCAGATCCTCCCGGAAGGCGCCGCCCACCCTGCCCCACGGGCTGGAGGGTCCTCCCACCCTCCCGGGCCTGGAGGCTCCACCTACCGGTCTCCCGCCCTCCCGTTTCTTTCCGCTTCGATTTCACTCTGGAAAGCCCCCGGGACCCAAGGGCGACGGCTGGAAGACAGCCCAAAGGAGTAGCTACAGTGCGGCCTGGGAGGGGAAGCCGGGGAAAGGAGGCCGAGGGGGAGGTGGTCGCTCGCCCCGCTGCTGCCTGGCGGCGCCTGGCACAGCTGAGTCTCAGCCACAGCGCTGCGTGTGCCAAGAGCTGCCAGGCGTAAGTCCGGTCAGCTGGAGAGAGTTCTGAGCCTGGAAGAGGAAGAACAGGTTTGGCCACTGCTGCAGCTTCGGTTGCCACAAACACACGGGCGATCTCTTACGCACACGGTGTGTGAGCCTAAATGGGGCGGGAGGAGGTCGTGTTGGAGAGCTCGGGGGCAACTTAGCTTGAAGGAGAGAGGATTTCAGCTCTTAGCCTACGGCTGGCCCCAGTGTCAATAGAAAGACGTATAGGGAGAGAAATGTTCCCTCCTTCAGTAAGGTTAAAAAGAAAGGACCCCGGAAAGGGAAAGAGACACATATACCCTTCAGCGACTTCCCGGGGACCCCTTCGTGGTTTCAGGGGGACTGTCAGGTGGACCCTGAGAACACAGAGGAGAGGAGACCTCTAGTGCGAGCCGTACAGCACTGTGCTTCAACCTAGCAAGGCGGGAAGCTAATGCCTTTCCTTTCCGCTCGGAGGCAGGAATGGATGGAAAGCATCCAACATGATGAAATATGGTGTAGAACGGTCTGTGTAGAACAAGCTCTGGGTACTAAAGTTGCAAGACTAAAGAGGACCCTGGGCTGCCTGACACACCTCCTCCCGGCGTGTCGCCTTTCTGGCCGGGTGAGTGGCTCCGGTGGACCGCAATGAACACTACTGCAGCGCCCCCTGCTGCATGGTGGCCACGAGGTGTGGAAGACAGGTCTTTTCCACGCGTGCCGACTGGTTCCAATAGCAGCACCTAACCAGCAAGGCAGCTCTCCAAAACTGTGGCAAGAAATTTAGCTCCCTGGGTGTCCGGCAGTGACCTGAAAAGAAAATACCGTGGTTTGGGCTTCTATAGACCAAAGGCGCGTATCTTCCTGATTTCACAAGGAAATCTGAGAAATCTGTATTGGATACAAACAGATAAAATGATGAATATTTATTAAGATTATACCTATTACGCCATCCACAGGAGCACATTTTTCTGTGCCCTGGACAAATATATATGAACAAAAATAAAAGGAATTATATCTTTACAGGTAGGAACTGATCTTTTACCCTTTTTCCCCATAACCTTGGCTCACTGTTGAAAATTTTGAAAATTGTATCAGTTAGTCTGTCATGATGCTCTGTCTCTCCAGGGCACTTTCATGCTGAGATATGTATAGTCTATATAAAATATGCGTGTGGTCACTGAAGAAAGAACACATACTGTGGAATCAGATGTTTACGCTTGAGTGCATATTCTTGCTATTATTATTCGGGTGATCTTCGGCCAGTCACTCAACCTCTTTGTGACTCTGTTTTCTAATCTGTAAAACAGTAGTAATGATAGTACTATCTTCTGAGTACTATTGTGAGTATTAAAATAGTTAACATATGTAAAACACTTAAAAGGGAAAGTGCAAAAAAAAAGTGTTAGCTAGTATATCATTATTACTATGCTTTCTAACTTCCTCGTTTCATTTTACTTGTTAACAAAAATCTATACATTTGCCTCCAAAACACATCCTATCACGTCTTTACTACTTGAGTCCACAGCGCAGTCACCCTTATCTCCTGCAGAGACTGGGTTTCACCATGTTTTCCACGCTGGTCTTAAACTCCTGACCTCAAGTGATCCACTCGCCTCTCCTGCATAGACAAATGCAGTAGTCCTCTAAGCAGACTCCATACTTCTACCACTGCAGTTCATCCCTTCCCCAATTTTAACTTTCTAAGTGGTCTCCATACTTCTACCACTGCAATTCGTCCCTTCCCCAATTTTAACTTTAGGCAGAAGTTTCCTTTGAAAACCTATACATCCCCGATTTTTAAATGTTCCACAACTTTCTGTTGTATTTTTAAATATCCAACAACTTCCTGTTATACAGCTAATAAAGCTAATTCTTACCATGGCTAGCCAAGCCTTCCTTTGCCTAGACCACCCCTCCCCCTTCACGTTGTGCACATATGTGTACAAGGTACACATCCTTCTCCTCAGGAACTTCCCACTGTTTCTTCCTCCTGCGTAAGGTGCTTCTCCTCAAACCTTCTCTATCTCCTTCTCACCATTTAGGTCTTAGCTCAAATGCCATAACCTCAGAAATAAAGTATGCTCTCCCCCATCGATCTCTATCCAACCTCCATGTATCAGTTTCTTCGTAGTATGTATTGGTATCTGTAAGCACCACTGAATGGAAGCTCCATGAAGCCATGGATCCTGGCACTCTTGTTTTCCACATAATACCCAGAGCCACAGCCCATAACATCCAGACATGTAGAATAAACTTTAAAAAGATATTAACAAATGTACAAAACAAATATGCTTAGGAGAAACTATGTGACAGCTGGAAAATCCACAAATTTTCATCACTGATTTATTATTATCATTGTTAAATAGGCTGAAATATTAACCAAGGAGAGGGGAAGGCAGCAGGTTCACAACTGATCAGGATGTATGAAGTTTGCAGGAATAGCCTTGATGGGGAGTCACATGGACAGCTCTCTTCAATTATTAAGAGATATAAAAATATTAGAGAGCTTTGGGTTATGCATGCTAAAAACTCATAAGCCTTTCACAGAGCTGTGTTCATTTTTAAGGCTCTAGTGATTTTATTTTATTTTTAAAATTTTATTTATTTAATTTGAGACAGTCTTGCTCTGTCGCCCAGGCTGGAGTGCAGTGGCCTGGCTCTGTCTTGGCTCACTGCACCCTCCGCTTCCCAGGCTCAAGTGATTCTCCTGCCTCAGCGGTAGCAGGAATTATAGGGGTGTGCCACCACGCCCAGCCAATTTTTTTATTTTTAATAGAGATGAGGTTTCACCATGTTGCCCACGCTGGTTTTGAACTCCTGACCTCCAGAGATCCGCTCGCCTCAGCCTCCCAAAGTGCTGGGATTACAGATGTGAGCCACCATGCTGGGCAATGGCTCCAATAGTTTTAAATAAATTTTATGCACTCCTCCATCTCCTCCTTTTCTCCTTTCCCCACATCCTAATGCCTCTGAATTGGAAGCCTAGGTGACTGGGAGATGTGTTGTAAAGTGGCACATCTAGCATTCCCTGTTAAATGGAAGGCTGAAAACCCAGCTCTGTTCGAGAAATCCAGTTGCTTTTAACAAATTTTTCTATTATAATTTAATGTAGGTTTCAATATCCTTCCAGAGCATTAAGCTATGGTCTTTTTCAGATTGCTCTCCAAGGGCTGAGAAGCAGCCAATTCCTGCATTTTCTACCTTCCTTGAACAACTTTAGGAGGAAAATCAGATTAAAAATGTCATCACTATCATTGAAGACTATTTAAAATCTGGGGACATAGCTTTTTCATTTATCAAGGTGTACTTATTCAGTGTGAGATTGCGGCATCCGTTCTGAATATGTGTACGGTCCATTTAAAGCTACTGTTGCTCTCCACAGATGAAGGAAATTAGGATGGTTGGCTTGAATTTTCTACCTTAGACACAATACTGGCCAAAAAAGTGCTAAGCCCTTATTTTCCTGAAGTAGGTTCCACACATCTGCTACCTCACCACTTCCTCAATGAATTCCTTTTTATAGTAGCCCCAACCTACCCTGCATTTGTTCTGCATTCCCAGTCCTTTGTTGTATAATTCATACCTTTGCAGCGCCAGTTCCTCAGGGTAAAGATTTCCTTATTTGCCTAAGACATTTTTAGTTTATTGTGTAATACTATCTTCCCTTTGGGTGTTGCATAAATATTAACTAAAAATCCACATCTGGTCCTGGTCGTCATTTCTATTTGTCCTAATATAACTTCTCTTTGAACAATTCATTTGGAAAGTGTGCCAAGGGTGAAATATGGCACGTAAATTCTCTTGCTGCACAGAATGGTTTTTAAAGTGCCCACAGATTTGATTATTTATGAGCAGGAGATTTGCGCCTCTTCCTTGCTCTCTCAATTCTAAAATTGTACTGGGCCAAAATAATTACAATCTTCCATATGTTTTCTGAAAAGGTATCCAAGTATCTCCTGCTAAAATCTTAACAGATTGACTAGGAAGCAGAAAAACACTAGCCCAGCAGGTGAAACTGCCTGTTTAGGGAGGTCAGAACAGAGCTCTCTGCTGGGGGACTCATAAGCTCTGGGATTTACTCAGGAAATAACCCTGCAGGAGAAAAACAGCAGAGCATGGATGAAATGTGGGTCAGGGAGCTGAAGCAGGCACATGGGCTGCTTGGTTAACTAATGACTATAAATGTGTTGGCTACACATGTTACATTTAGATGCTTCCCAGCACCATCAAGTGCTGCCCTGCAGACACTACAATGTATAACATCACTTTGTCCCAAGACTTGTGATCCATTAGCAATATAAGTCGAACAAGGCAGCCAGCCACAGAAACAGATTTTGTCACCTATCTCTCAAAACTGGGACTGTTAAGAACCAGCTGCTAGCAAAATAATGATCACTTTAAGAATCTCACGGTCTCCCCAGCTTCCAATTCAGAGAATGTGGGGGTGAGGGAGGAGACAAGGAGGAGGAGGAGTGTAGAAATAACATGTTAATAACCAGATATGAATAACTGCAGAGATGTTGAGGCTAATGATAGAATTCAAAAACTCAGTCAAGAAAAGCAAGGACAGCCTCCTTTACAGAATCTCTCTGAATGTATTAACATGCACTGATATAATAGTGATCACAAATGCTCTAACAGCTTGAAAAATTG